TCTTATTAGCTTGGATCCTGGCTCTTTCACGTTAAAAAGCCAGACTAAAGGTCTGTGGTCAGTATATATTTTAAATTTTTGACCGTATAGATAGGGTCGGAAATATTTGCAGGCCCAAACAATAGCCAAAAGTTCTTTTTCTATTGTGGAATACCTTTGTTCGGTTTCATTGAGTGTTCTAGACGCAAAAGCAATTGGTTGATCGTGAGGTGGATTTCCTTGTGACAAGACGGCTCCAAGGGCGAAATTTGAGGCGTCTGTGGAAAGTACAAAGGGTTTTTCGAAATTAGGGTATTTCAGGATAGGTGCATTTATAAGAAGTTCTTTCAAATGATTGAATGATTTTATGAAAGGTTCATTATGAATGACTTTTGCACCTTTTTTTAGGCAGGGAGTCAAGGGCTTTGTGATTTTGGCAAAATCCTTGATAAATCGGCGATAATAACCGGCTAAGCCTAAGAAAGATTTTATATCCTTTTGTGTTTTCAGGATTGGAAAATGTCTTACAGCTTCGACTTTGTCGGGGTTGGGTTTGACTCCATCGTTAGTGATTTTATGTCCAAGATATGCAACTTCTTTATGTAAGAACTCAGACTTATCTAGCTGGATTTTGAAGTTTGACTGTCTGAGGCGCTCAAAGACGTTACGAAGTCGTTGAATGTGTTCTGTTAGAGAAGTGCTGAAAATGATTATATCATCGAGGTAAACTAAACAAGTTTCGTTCTGTAAGCCTCGGAGAACATTATTCATGACTCGCTGGAAGGTCGAAGGGGCATTTTTAAGACCGAAGGGCATGCGTTTGAATTCAAAATGTCCGGTGTCGGTGGAAAAAGCTGTTTTGGAAATATCATGGGGATCGAGTTCGATTTGATGAAATCCATTGGCCAAATCAAGTGTCGTGAAATATTGCACCTTGCCTAATTTATCCAAGATATCGGAAATATTGGGCAATAAGAATTTATCGTCAATCGTTTTATCATTAAGTTTCCGATAATCGATTACGATTCTCCATTTTCTTTTTCCAGTGGCGTCCATTTTTTTCGGGACAATCCATATAGGACTACTCCAAGGTGACGTGGAATGCTAAATAATGCCGTTTTGTAACATTTGGTTTATTTGGGTGGTAACTTTCTTGTTTGTGGACTGCAGGGTATCGATAAGTTTTGGTAAATATTGGAGTTTCATCGGTGAGATTTATTTTATGTTTAATTTGGTTGGTAAAAGTTAAGGGCGAACCTTCACAGAAAAATATATCACGATACTGATAACAAAGTTCTCGAATGGCTTTGTATTCTTCAGTATTGCAATGAGAAAATCTTAAATTTTTAAGATTTTGTTTTTGCAAATTATCGAAATGGTCATTATTATTAACGTTATAATTGTTGACCTCAATATTTTCACAGAAATTAATCTCAGCGTCGTCAAGTAATTCAATATCTAGTGGCTTATATATGCTTATCTTCACAGGGTTTTCGCGTGGGTTTAATATGGTTGTTAATGCAAAAGAGTCGACTATATTTACTAAAGATTCTGGTATTTCAGCGGCACCAAAGTCTGTATAACTTAAAATACCTATACCATTTTTTTCACTAACTGGTACTTTTATTTTTTGACAAGTTTGAGGCGGAATGATAGCTTCAAATGTTTCAAAATGATGTAATGATTTCTGGGGTTTCAATTCGCTTTGAAAATACAAACGAAACATTGTGTTTGGCGTTTTCAAGTATTTATTTTTCAGATTAATTTTCGCACCAATTTGTATAAGGAAATTTGTTCCTAATAATCCATCAAATTTTGGGGAAAAATCAAATAAATAAAATTTGTGATTTCCTTGACAATTAAAAGAAGGAAATATAGGAATTTTTACTACCTCATTATGAATTGATGTGGCATGTGCCGTACGCACTGAATATGGTTCAAAGTCGATTGAATTTGGGGAAAATTTTCATCATAACCTGATGGGTATCCATAATTACTAGCATTTTCGTAATTTTGGTTATACGGATTGTTATTGTCATAGTCATTTTCTTCAAATGAAATTTGGTTATCATCAGAATCAGAGTAATATTGCTGTTCGGAATATTGATTCTGAAATTGGGAATAATCAATTTGATCATTGGGGTCGATTTCGGTGTTATTTGGTAAGGGTTCAACAGATTGGTTGAAAAGTTCTTGTGAATTAAAATTGCGTTCGGGCGCTTGAGCGAATCGTCTTTGTATTGACCGATTGGCTGCAGTATTTATGGAAGTTGTATCCATTGGTTCCACTGTTCTGCGGGATACGCTAGAATTATTTTGGGGAACTCTAAAATTATTATTGAAATTTTGGAAGTTATTTGAGAAAGGTTTAAGTTGTGCAGAATTTTGGGCATTTGTTCTAAATTGGTTGAAATTTGGGTTTCTTTGTGGGTTATAGTTTGGGTTAAAGTTATTATAGAAGTTTGAATTATTATTTCTTGGTAAATTATTGTTAAAATTTGGTATATTTTGCGGACGGTATGCATTAACAGAATAATGCATTGGTCTTTTGAATTTATTCGCATTTAATTGAGAATTTGTATTATTCCCAGAAGGTGTTTGCTTATGCATAAGATTAGAACTATTTTTAAATTGAAGAAAATTTTCTTCTTCTAAAGCAAATGACATAGCTTGCTCAAGAGAGTCAGGATTTTTCAATCTAACTATCAATTGCATGTGATAGTTGAGCCCAGTAATAAAAGTTTTCATTACTAATTTACCATACTCGTCGATTTTTAATAATTTAATAGCACGAGTATCGTTAGAAACATTAACTTTTGAAAATAATAAGCTACGGGCGTCTTGCAAACGTATACCAAATTGTTGAGGATTTTCATTTTTTTCAGGTTTCATTGTAATGATGTCCTGTATAACACAATCAATTGATCTTTGATCGGAGAAAGTTGCAATAATCGCATTTTTTACTAAATCCCATGAGTTTAATTCTATTCTAGAAGCAATTAAATCTGCTGCTCTACCAACTAGTTTGCTTAAAATTGTATCGAAAAGAGCAATATTAATGGCTGCGCCAGCATTATTGGGATCGCTATGAGCTGTTAAAAAATTAGTACAAGCATTTATAAATCTATTAACTTGTTTTGGATTACCATCAACCAAATCCAAAAACAAGGTATGTTATCTGCTTGATAACGAACTAGAGTATAATTTGCCATTTTTAAATTATTTTCTTAAAAAAAATCGAAATTAAAAAAAATTGACAAAAACAAAAATTTTTGTTTTGTTTTTTGGTTTTAATAAAAATAAGTAAATAACTAAGTAATAAGGTAAATATATATATAAAAAGTAAAATTAGGATTTTCCTAACTTGTCAAAAACAGTGTATAGCAATAAAACAATCAGGAAAAAATAAAAATGGAAACTGAAAGGATTCACTTACAGTAGCAGGAATACGATGATTTTCTTCATTCTTAACCTAAGCCCAATAGGAAAAGCGATGCTTGTCTTCTCCCTAGAACTACCTTATGAGCGTCTGGACGATTTTTGTTCCGTTTGCTCGCACCAATAGGAATAGGACGATTTTTGTTCCCGGTTTCCCTGGTCTGGGTGAGTTGCGTTGCACCACTTTCGAAAATTTCGTTCGATATTGCCGTAAATCGTTGGAACGAACCGATAACTTTGTCGCACGATACGTGAAACCGTCAACAATATGCTACCAACTGCGCCAGTTAACAACTCGAATTTTGAGAGTTAGTTTTTAAAAAAAATTATTTTCAATGGTGGTTACAATACAACTGACTTAAAACCTAAGTAAAATTAATATTTATAATTATTAGCTTTGCTGACAAAGCTGTTCCCAAGAAATGCAACGGTCGGACTTGTTCTGAAAACAAAGTAACAAACTGCTGAACTCTTAAGTTTATGAAAATGTAACTGTGTGCATTTGCCAATATCAACAATATCTTTCAATCGGCAAAGTACCACTTTGCGCTTTTAATACACAAAGAGCTATTGTGCAACCGTCCGCGAAATTCAATTTCGCGAAACGCCACATTTTACCTGCAAAATGTGTCAAATCCTTAGAAACGCTATGCATGCCACAATGTCCACCAGGTCAAATAAAATTTTTCAAATGCCTAAAAGGCCGTACAAGCGAAAGAGTTACAATAAAATATCATCAAGCAAAGTAATAGAGAATTTTATTAGGTATAATAATCTGCAGGTTTGCTATTTAATTTTTTTTGCGAATTCGGAAGCACTAAAATGGCCACAGCGCCTAAAGTAAAATAGCTAAAAAAAAAAGTCATGAGGCAAAGTTGATCAGAATGTAATTATCTACAAGTTTTGTAGAGGTCATTTTGTCGAAAAAAAAAAATAAATAAGAAAAAAGCCAATAGAGCCGTACGCACAAGGCTTTCGAGTGTGATTTTTTGGCTCAATACTCAGGACACACTCCCCAATCAGCCCTGGAAAAAACCAGCCTGCCCTTGCAAAATTTTTTGCGGCCCAGGTATAAATTTCTTGGGCTATGACTTTCAAGTCTCTTAATGAATTCACTTTTTAATCAGCACGTTTTTCAATAAATTAAGATTCAATTACTTACATACATATACATAGATACATATACGTATCATATATCTCATTCAGAAGTTGAAAATGTAATTTTATAATTATTGAGGTAGAAGACAAAATCTTGTAAAACAAAACACCTTATGTTGTGTTAAGAAGGTTCTTATTCCAAAATACTTTCTTGACAATTTCAAAGTATCTACTTAATACATACTTGAAATAAAACAATACTCAATTAATAGATAACTGAACTTTTAGCGGCAGATAAATAATAATAATAGGTAATTTATCATTTAATAATAAATTCAGCAAACGGGTACAAGTCTGATAATATTTGTGATAATTCAATACTGACCCAACAATAGAATATAATCTTCAAGTTTTATGTTATTACTTGTCAATCACCAATAATTAAATTCAATGTCAAAAGATAATTGAGATTTTTTTTTTTCTAGGAATATGGAAGGTATAGGTTTTACCTTGGCCTTGGGCACCTTAAGGGTGCTGGCCTTCATCTACGACCTGCTCACTTTTCCCGTCTACGTTCTCCTTCAAAGGCCTTGGCAGCAAAGACAGCAGGCTAGGAAAATCAAGGTCAGAACTCAGTACTTTAAATTGTGACGCATACAGCAATGTTTGCTAACTGTGCATTGATAATACCGAGACTTATATAATTGTTGCGGATTTTGCATGTTTTTAAATTCAACTTAATGTAAAATTGAAAAACTTGGCCTCAGTTGACAATTGAAATACAAAATAAAGGGGTGGGAAGTACAAGGAAACTTATGTTAAGACTTTATAATACCCAAATTATTTATTCAGTGTTCATAACAGTGGGGGAATTTAAGAAAGTTCAAGGGAATTCCAAAGAAGTAGGGAAAATATTAATTTATCAAAATATCTATGTAAAAAAAACAAGATATTATTTAAAAATTGTATACAGGGTGTTTTTTTATGAGAGTACGTGATTCGTACCTAAAAATCATATAACAATATTTATATTTTTAAATTTTTGTTGGATTGTTTTTGAGTTAAAAATATTTTCAAGGTACCTAGGTATTGACGGAATAAGTTTGTCTTTTCTGGCTTTATTTCAGGATTGGCAAAAACCCGGATTTTTGAAAATTTCCATTGGGTTTTTGCGAGCTATTGAGGTAGTGTTTGTGTTTTCTTAACTACAAAATTGTATATTTGTTTCAACAATTTTGCACTTGCGAAGCTTCGAAATTGAATTTATCAAACATTGAAAATTTTCCAAAAATTACATTGAGATAGTTTTCACCTAACAGCTTTGTTAGTTCTCATCCGATTTTAATGTAATGAAACTCTAATTAAAGCCAATTAAATTCTCTACAAACCAATTAATTAAGATTTCAATTTGGTTTCAACACAGTTTTGCACCTGAGAAGCTTCAAAATTTAATTTATCGAATATTGGAAATTTTCCAAAAGTGACACTCAGACAGTTTTTGCCGGTAATTTTCATCCGATTTCAGTGTAATTAAGCTCCAGTTAAAGCCAATTGAATTCTCCAAAAACCTATTAATTGAGATTTTAATTTGGTTTCAACAGTTTTGCACCTGAGAAGCGTCAAAATAGAATTTATCGAACATTGAAAATTTTCCAAAAATAACTAATCAGTTTTTGCCTCACAGCTCCATTAATTTTCATCCGATTTCGATGTAATTAAGCTCTAATTAAATTCTCTACAAACCTATTAATTAAGATTTCAATTTAGTTTCAACAGTTTTGCACGTGAGAAGCTTCAAATTAGAATTTATGGAACATTGAATAATTTTCCAAAAAAATGATACTGAGACAGTTTTGCCTCACAGCTCCGGTAATTTTCATCCGATTTTAATGTAATTGAGCTCGAATTAAAGCCAATTAAATTCTCTACAAACCTCTTAATTGAGATTTTTATTTGGTTCCAACAGTTTCGCACCTGAGAAACTTCAAAATGGAATTTATTGAACATTGAAAATTTTCCAAAAATGACTTTGAGACAGTTTTTACCTCACAGCTCCGGTAATTCTTATCCAATTGCGATGTATTCAAGCTTTAATTAAAGCCAATTGAATTCTCTACAAACCTAACAATTAAGATTTCAACTTGGTTTCAACAGTTTTTCACCTGAGAAGCCTCGAAATATAATTTATCGAACATTGAAAATTTTCCAAAAATTACACTCAGACAGTTTTTGCCTCTCAAAAAACTCCCAAAAATTTTGTAATTTTCGATGTTTTTATATATATCCTGTTCACAGTCCGATGTCCACAGGTGCAGGTACATTTATCACCTTTTTCTATCAAATAGCATTGAAAGGTGATACATTTTACTGGTACCAGTGGACATCGGATTGTGAAAGGATAATACATATTTTTTTGGGAATTTTAGGAATTTTATGATTTCGGTAATTTCTTAAACAATTCTTGTTATTTTCATAATTCCCAGTTACTTTTTGCAATTTTCGTAATTCCCTTAAATTCTTCGTAATTCCCATGATTTATATTGTTATTCCTGTAATTTATGAATAATTTCTTCTATAGTTTCTCAAATTTTCGTAATTTTTTAATTCTCGTAATTTCTCGAAAACTCCGTTTTTTTTAATTCCCCCTAAGTTGCTGTAATTTTCGAAAACTCGTTATTTCCGTACTTAATTTTCGTATTTTTTTTTTTCGGGAATTTTCGAAATTTCTAAACCCACTTAGTTCTTATTCCCGCATAGTTTTTTTGGAACTCGTAATTCGTAATTTTTGTAAATTTTTCGTAATTTTTCAATTTTTTTCATGTCGTAACTTGTGCAATTCCTATAATTTTAATTTTTTTTTTGATTCTTATTATTTTCTAGTAATTTTTTAATAAGTTTTCTTTGAAATTTAAAAATTTCCAAGAATTCAAGAAAAACAAGAGGTACTTATAATAATATGTAGTCAAAAACGAAACAAAAATTAAAAAAGTTGAAAAAACCTCAAAAAAATCGAAAAATTTTAAACCCAAATAAAGTGAAAAATTTCAAAAAAATTCGGAAATTTAACCTAAAAAAGTTCAAAAAAATTGGAAAAAAATCCAAAAAAGTTGTAGAAATTCAAAAAAAAATCTGAAAAAATTGACTAAACCCAATAAAATTCGAATAAGTTGGAAAAAATCCAAAGACGTAAAAAACATTCATAGAATTCGGAAAAATTTAGAAAATCTAAAAAAGTTGACAAAAAGTTCAAAAAACCCAAAAAATTGAAAAAAAAAAAAAAAAAAAAGTTACAATAATAATCCAGTTTTATACCTTTTTGAATTCCCGAAATTTTTGTATTATGTAATTTCTGTTATTTTTGAAATTTTCATAATTAAGTCCCGTAATTTTTGTAATTCTTTCAATTCCCGTGGATTTTTGCAAATTTTCATAATTCGTGTAAGTAATTCCAGAAGTTCGCGAAATTTTAATAATTTCAGTGATTTTTGCAATTTTTGGTAGTTTTTCGTAATATGTATTATTATGATTCCCATAATTAATTTCCGTAATTTTTTGATAAGATTAAAAATTTACTAACAAAAAGTGACATTGAGACAGTTTTTGCTTCACAGCTCCATTAATTTTCATCCGATTTAAATGTAATTAAGCTGTAATTGAAGCCAATTAAATTCTCTACAAAGCTATTGATTGAAATTTCAATTTGGTTTGAACAGTTTTGCACCTGAGAAGCTTCGAAATTGAATTTATCGAATATTGAAAATTTATTAAAAAAAATGACATTGAGACAGTTTTTGCCTCACAGCTCCGTTAATTTTCATCTAATTTCAATGTTATAAAGCTCTAACTAAAGCCAATTAAATTCTCTACAAACCTCTCAATTGAGATCTCAATTTGGTTCCAACAATTTTGCACCTGAGAAAATTCAAAATAGAATTTATCGGACATTGAAAATTTTCCAAAAATAACATTGAGACAGTTTTTACCTCACAGCTCCGGTAATTCTCATCCGATTGCGATGTAATCCAAGGGCGGTTTAAAGGGGGGTAAATAGGTTTTTCAAAAAACAAAATGTATGTAAAATTTTTAGGACGATCCATTATTGTGCTAAAATATAGACTGTTCCATTTTATAACAAAGTTCAGTCACATACCCCATTTACGGAGCACCCTGCATATTCAAAAATATTTTTTTCTACAACTGTCAAAAAATGATGATGTTCGCACACTCATGACAGTTTGCGAAGTGACACTTTTTTTCCCAGGTATTGATTTTTTAACGTTCCCATGACGCCGTGCGCGAACTAGCTATTTCGCACACTGGTGTGTCATGGTGACACATACCTGTCAGGAAACCAAAAATAATTAAAATTCACCTACCTTTGATTGAGAATGCAATTTTGGCTTCGAATGATCGATATTTAAATAGAGTTGTAGAAAAAATATTGTTTGCAACTCGGGCGCGAAATACTTTGGTGATCTCGACTATTTTTTTAACTCGGCTGCGCCTCGTTAAAAAAATCAGATCTCGATCACCAAAGTAGCATTTCGCGCACTAGATACAAAAATAACTATTAACTAATGCAACTTAGAATTTTATTTTACAAAACATCATTATTTTTAAAAAATCATAACTCCATTGATAATAACTCAATTGCTTCGAGTTTTTAGTATTTTTTACATGGAACCTTTAGGAAAAAATCCTCAAAATTTCAACTTTCCATTCATTTTAGTTTTTGAGTGAAACAATTATTTATAAAGTTTTACTTTATAAACCATCATTATTTTAAAAAAATCATTGCTCCATGCTCCATAAATAATAATTCAATCGCTTTGAGTTTTTAGTATTTTTCACATGGAACCTTTAGGAAAAGGTTCTCAAAATTTCAACTTTCCACTCACTTTAGTTTTTGAGTGAAAAAATTGTTTGTAAAGTCTTACTTTAAAAAACATCATTATTTCAAAAAAAATCGTAACTCCATTAATAATAATTCAATTGCTTTGAATTTTTAGTATTTTTTACATGGAACCTTTAGGAAAAAGTCCTCAAAATTTCAACGTTCCACTCACTTTAGTTTTTGAGTGGAAAAATTGTTTGTAAAGTCTCACTTTACAAAACATCATTATTTAAAAAAAATCATAACTCCATTAATATTAATTCAATTGCTTTGAGTTTTTAATATTTTTTACATTGAACCTTTAGGAAAAAGTCCTCAAAATTTCAACGTTCCATTCACTTTAGCTTTTGAGTGAAAAAATTGTTTGTAAAAAACATCAAGATTTTAAAAAAATTACAACTTCATTAATAATAACTCAATGGCTTTGAGTTTTCAGTATTTTTTACATTGACACTTTAGGAAAAAGTTCTCAAAATTTCAACTTTTCACTAACTTTAGTTTTTGAGTAAAAAAATTGTTTGTAAAGTCTTACTTTACAAAACATCTTTATTTCAAAAAAATCATAACTCCATTAGTAATAACTCAATTGCTTTGAGTTTCTAGTATTTTTTACATGGAACCTTTAGGAAAAAGTCCTCAAAATTTCAACTTTCCACTAACTTTAGTTTTTGAGTGAAAAAATTGTTTGTAAAGTCTTACTTTACAAAACATCATTATTTTAAAAAAATCATAACTCCATTATCAATAACTCAATTGCTTTGAGTTTTTAGTATTTTTTACATGGAACCTTTAGGAAAAAGTCCTCAAAATTTCAACGTTTTACTAACTTTAGTTTTTGAGTTAAAAAAATGTTTATAAAGTCTTACTTTACAAAACATCATTATTTAAAAAAAATCATAACTCCATTAATAATAACTCAATTGCTTTGAGCTTTTAGTATTTTTTACATGGAACCTTTAGGAAAAAGTCCTCAAAATTTCAACGTTCCATTCACTTTAGCTTTTGAGTGAAAAAATTGTTTGTAAAAAACATCAAGATTTTAAAAAAATTACAACTTCATTAATAATAACTCAATGGCTTTGAGTTTTCAGTATTTTTTACATTGACACTTTAGGAAAAAGTTCTCAAAATTTCAACTTTTCACTAACTTTAGTTTTTGAGTAAAAAAATTGTTTGTAAAGTCTTACTTTACAAAACATCTTTATTTCAAAAAAATCATAACTCCATTAATAATAACTCAATTGCTTTGAGTTTCTAGTATTTTTTACATGGAACCTTTAGGAAAAAATCCTCAAAATTTCAAGGTTCCATTCACTTTAGCTTTTGAGTGAAAAAATTGTTTGTAAAATTTTATTTCAAAAAACATCAATATTTTAAAAAAATTACAACTTCATTAATAATAACTCAATGGCTTTGAGTTTTCAGTATTTTTTACATTGACACTTTAGGAAAAAGTTCTCAAAATTTCAACTTTTCACTAACTTTAGTTTTTGAGTGAAAAACTTGTTTGTAAAGTCTTACTTTACAAAACATCATTATTTTTAAAAAATCATAACTCCATTAATAATAACTCAATTGCTTTGAGTTTCTAGTATTTTTTACATGGAACCTTTAGGAAAAAGTCCTCAAAATTTCAACTCTTCACTCACTTTAGTTTTTGAGTGAAAAAATTGTTTGTAAAGTCTTACTTTACAAAACATCATTATTTTAAAAAAATCATAACTCCATTAATAATAACTCAATTGCATTGAGTTTTTAGTATTTTTTACATTGAACCTTTAGCAAAAAGTCCTCAAAATTTCAACTTTCCACTCACTTTAGTTTTTGAGTGAAAAAATTGTTTGTAAAGTCTTACTTTACAAAACATCATTATTTTAAAAAAATCATAACTCCATTAATAATAACTCAATCGCTTTGAGTTTTTAGTATTTTTTATATTAAACCTTTAGAAAAAAGTCCTCAAAATTTTAACTTTCCACTAACTTTAGTTTTTGAGTGAAAAAATTGTTTGTAAAGTCTTACTTTACAAAACATCATTATTTTAAAAAAATCATAACTCCATTATCAATAACTCAATTGCTTTGAGTTTTTAGTATTTTTTACATGAAACCTTTAGGAAAAACTCCTCAAAATTTCAACTTTCCACTCACTTTAGTTTTTGAGTGAAAAAATTGTTTGTAAAGTCTTACTTTACAAAACATCATTATTTTAAAAAAATCATAACTGCATTAATAATAACTCAATTGCTTTGAGTTTTTAGTATTTTTCACATAGAACCTTTAGGAAACAGTCCTTAAAATTTCAACTCTTCACTCACTTTAGTTTTTGAGTGAAAAAATTGTTTGTAAGGTCTTACTTTACAAAACATCATTATTTTAAAAAAATCATAACTGCGTTAATAATAACTCAATTGCTTTGAGTTTTTAGTATATTGATATTGTAGAATTTCTCATGTTGAATATAATTGGACCAATTTGAAATTTTAGTATGATGAGCTCATTTTTTCCCGTTTTCTACCCCAAGAGGGCCAAAAGTTTCAAAATTTTTCTATCACTACTTAGTTCTACAAAAAACAACATCAAAATTGGAAGGGGTGCATTTTTTAAAAATGTATTTATCAAAAGTTGATATTCTAGAATTTCTCATACTGTTGAATCTTATTGGATCAATTTGAAATTTTAGCATGATGAGCTCCTTGTCTTCCACTTTCTACCCCAAAAGTTTCAAAATTTTCCCCTCACTAGTTTTACAAAAAACATCAAAATTGGAAGAAGTGCATTTTTAAAAAAATTATTTATCAAAAGTTGATATTCTAGAATTTCTCATGTTGTTAAATCTCATTGAATCAATTTGAAATTTTATTGATCTCTTCTACCTCAAAAGTTTCAACATTTTTCCCTCACTAGTTTTTTTAAAAAACATCAAAATGAGAAATGGTGCATTTTTTAAAAATGTATTTATCAAAAGTTGATATTCTATAATTTCTCATGTTGTTGAATCTGGGTCAGTTAAGTTAACCCCCCCTCCCCCAGTAAAAATTTTTAGATGAAAAGTTCTCTATAATTTTGTTCCATAAATTTAAAATTTTGCTCCATAACTCTTTACAACTTTAACATTAATTTCTAGGTGAGGGGGGGGGGCTAAGTTAATGGTTTCAAAAAGGTTTCAAACATTTTTCAAAAATGACATTGATACAGTCTTTGCTTTACAGCAACATGATAAAATTTCAAATTTTTCCATGTTGAGATTATAATTCTAAATAATCAATTTGGTGAAACTATAATAAATTCCAATAGAGCTAAAGAGTTTTTAGGTATGAATCGCGTAACTCTTAAGAATAACTCCTTTTAATTTTTTGAAACATTTTTCTAATATAAAACACTCATAATCAAGCGCAACAACAGGTGAAGGGGCAAAACTAATTATTATTATTATTATAACGTCTGCAGCATTATTTATAATCATTTAAAATCCACTTTCAGCAACTAATGAATGGAAAACACAATTATTTCACTATTACTTTAATTTGCATTATTAGCTCGAGCTTTCAAGGCCCCGAGTGGATCGGATGATGTTGCTATTTTTGTATTAAAGAATTATAATTTGTTACTTGAAATTATATTTGATTTTTTGCTTGTGATGCTGCAGACACTTTTATGTTGGCTTATTTTTTCTCATTTATTTTATGTTTTTTGTATAATTTTCTCTGTCTATGTTTGTGTACCCCATTTTATTTATAGGGTTTTGTTGTATCAGTCGAAAGTGATGGTAGTAAGAAAGGCGACGTTGCCATCGAAATGAAGGATTTCACTAATCGATTTGTAGACACACCGTCTACGATCAATAATAATAATTATAAGGTATAATAAAAATGAAAAAGTATAAGCAGGATGAGGCAAGGAAATGGGGATTTTTAGATTTATATAGGGGTAGCACAAGAGGTGTTTTTATTAACTTTGTAAAAATAAAAGAAGAAGTATAACTGAAAATAATTATTCAGTAATTTAAATTCCAAAAGATATTTTCAGTTCCAGATAATGTTTTGAAGTTTTAAGATTATTATTTCCAATTTTTATGCTTTTTATTAACCCAAAACTATTGCACCTTTAAGTAATAATAATTGAAATGTAAATATCAACCTGAAATGTATTTCCAGCTCTGTAAAATGACATTTCACTGATAATAATTGTTGGTTCTTAGGCTCAACCGATCACTCAGGACACCAAAAGTATCACCTACAGGTCGACAATGCAACCGGGACCTTTGCATATCGCCTTGCTCCGGGAAAAAGTCGACACCATGGTAAAAATGATGGATTTTGTCAGCAAAAAGTACCCGAACAAACGGTGTCTGGGTACCAGAGAGATTTTAGGCGAGGACGATGAAACACAAGCGAATGGGAAAGTTTTTAAAAAGGTTAGAATTTTGTGTCATTAATCAAACTAATTATTATTACATAATTCCAATAAATAATGTTATTGTCTTTGTTAATAATGGGCATAAATTAAATTTAATTATTGTTCTGCATGATTAAGTAAAAATTGTCCTCTCATTACTATAAAAAATTCACCTTGAAATTTTTCAGATTTTTCTTAAATTTGGCAAATTAGATCCTCATAGACATAGTCTAATAATGTTGAATCCTTATTATTTTCAGTTCAATATGGGGGAATATCGTTGGAAAACCTACTCAGAAGTCAATATGCTCGCTTCGAATTTCGGTAAAGGTCTCAGAGAGTTGGGCTGCAAACCCAAAGAAAACGTCGTCATATTTGCCGAAACCAGAGCCGAATGGATGATCGCAGCCCATGGTCTTTTCAAACAGGGAATTCCTTTGGTCACTATTTATGCCACTTTAGGTAAGGATTTGAATTTTAAATGAATTAGTCGAACAAAGGAGGGTTTTTTCCAATTTTTTTGTTTTCATAGATTTCGGCTTCAAATCTGAGAATAATTTAGTGTAGGGAGTTTGAGGGATGTCAATTGACCATTAGGATACAAAATCTCAACAAATTTTTTTTTGAAATTTCATCGTTTTAGTAAGAAGGTAGCTACCTTATGATTTAGATTTTGGAAAACTTTGGAAGGGCATAACTTTTTTTCTATGATAGATAGAAAGCTGAAATTTTCACTGAATTTTATCTCAATAAAGGGGCTACAGTCCCTGAAAATTTCAGCACATTTGCACTTATAGTTCCTGAGATAAAATCGTATTAAGCAATTTGGGCTGATTTATCAATTTTTCAATTTTTCTGAGTGCCTTTTTTCATAGATTTCGGCTTCAAATCTGAGAATAATTTAGTGTATGGAGTTTGAGGGATGTCAATTGACCATTAGGATACAAAATCTCAACAAAAAAAATTTTGAAATTTCATCGTTTTAGTAAGAAGGTAGCTACCTTATGATTTAGATTTTGGAAAACTTTGGAAGGGCATAACTTTTTTTCTATGATAGATAGAAAGCTGAAATTTTCACTGAATTTTATCTCAATAAAGGGGCTACAATCCCTGAAAATTTCAGCTCATTTGCACTTATAGTTCCTGAGATAAAATCGTGTTATATAATTTGGGCTGATTTATCAATTTTTCAATTTTTCTGAGTGCCTTTTTTCATAGATTTTGACTTCAAATCTGAGAATAATTTAGTGTAGGGAGTTTGGGGGATGTCAATTGACCATAAGGACACAAAATCTCAACAAAATTTTTTTTGAAATTTCATCGTTTTAGTAAGAAGGTAGCTACCTTATGATTTAGATTTTGGAAAACTTTGGAAGGGCATAACTTTTTTTCTATGATAGATAAAAAGCTGAAATTTTCACTGAATTTTATCTCAATAAAGGGGCTACAATCCCTGAAAATTTCAGCTCATTTGCACTTATAGTTCCTGAGATAAAATCGTGTTAAGCAATTTGGGCTGATTTATCAATTTTTCAATTTTTCTGAGTGCCTTTTTTCATAGATTTCGGCTTCAAATCTGAGAATAATTTAGTGTATGGAGTTTGAGGGATGTCAATTGACCATTAGGATACAAAATCTCAACAAAAAAAAATTTTGAAATTTCATCGTTTTAGTAAGAAGGTAGCTACCTTATGATTTAGATTTTGGAAAACTTTGGAAGGGCATAACTTTTTTTCTATGATAGATAGAAAGCTGAAATTTTCACTGAATTTTATCTCAATAAAGGGGCTACAGTCCCTGAAAATTTCAGCACATTTGCACTTATAGTTCCTGAGATAAAATCGTATTAAGCAATTTGGGCTGATTTATCAATTTTTCAATTTTTCTGAGTGCCTTTTTTCATAGATTTCGGCTTCAAATCTGAGAATAATTTAGTGTATGGAGTTTGAGGGATGTCAATTGACCATTAGGATACAAAATCTCAACAAAAAAAATTTTGAAATTTCATCGTTTTAGTAAGAAGGTAGCTACCTTATGATTTAGATTTTGGAAAACTTTGGAAGGGCATAACTTTTTTTCTATGATAGATAGAAAGCTGAAATTTTCACTGAATTTTATCTCAATAAAGGGGCTACAATCCCTGAAAATTTCAGCTCATTTGCACTTATAGTTCCTGAGATAAAATCGTGTTAAGCAATTTGGGCTGATTTATCAATTTTTCAATTTTTCTGAGTGCCTTTTTTCATAGATTTTGACTTCAAATCTGAGAATAATTTAGTGTAGGGAGTTTGGGGGATGTCAATTGACCATAAGGACACAAAATCTCAACAAAATTTTTTTTGAAATTTCATCGTTTTAGTAAGAAGGTAGCTACCTTATGATTTAGATTTTGGAAAACTTTGGAAGGGCATAACTTTTTTTCTATGATAGATAAAAAGCTGAAATTTTCACTGAATTTTATCTCAATAAAGGGGCTACAATCCCTGAAAATTTCAGCTCATTTGCACTTATAGTTCCTGAGATAAAATCGTGTTAAGCAATTTGGGCTGATTTATCAATTTTTCAATTTTTCTGAGTGCCTTTTTTCATAGATTTCGGCTTCAAATCTGAGAATAATTTAGTGTATGGAGTTTGAGGGATGTCAATTGACCATTAGGATACAAAATCTCAACAAAAAAAATTTTGAAATTTCATCGTTTTAGTAAGAAGGTAGCTACCTTATGATTTAGATTTTGGAAAACTTTGGAAGGGCATAACTTTTTTTCTATGATAGATAGAAAGCTGAAATTTTCACTGAATTTTATCTCAATAAAGGGGCTACAATCCCTGAAAATTTCAGCTCATTTGCACTTATAGTTCCTGAGATAAAATCGTGTTAAGCAATTTGGGCTGATTTATCAATTTTTCAATTTTTCTGAGTGCCTTTTTTCATAGATTTCGGCTTCAAATCTGAGAATAATTTAGTGTATGGAGTTTGAGGGATGTCAATTGACCATTAGGATACAAAATCTCAACAAAAAAAATTTTGAAATTTCATCGTTTTAGTAAGGAGGTAGCTACCTTATGATTTAGATTTTGGAAAACTTTGGAAGGGCATAACTTTTTTTCTATGATAGATAAAAAGCTGAAATTTTCACTGAATTTTATCTCAATAAAGGGGCTACAATCCCTGAAAATTTCAGCTCATTTGCACTTATAGTTCCTGAGATAAAATCGTGTTAAGCAATTTGGGCTGATTTATCAATTTTTCAATTTTTCTGAGTGCCTTTTTTCATAGATTTCGGCTTCAAATCTGAGAATAATTTAGTGTATGGAGTTTGAGGGATGTCAATTGACCATTAGGATACAAAATCTCAACAAAAAAAATTTTGAAATTTCATCGTTTTAGTAAGAAGGTAGCTACCTTATGATTTAGATTTTGGAAAACTTTGGAAGGGCATAACTTTTTTTCTATGATAGATAAAAAGCTGAAATTTTCACTGAATTTTATCTCAATAAAGGGGCTACAATCCCTGAAAATTTCAGCTCATTTGCACTTATAGTTCCTGAGATAAAATCGTGTTAAGCAATTTGGGCTGATTTATCAATTTTTCAATTTTTCTGAGTACCTTTTTTCATAGATTTCGGCTTCAAATCTGAGAATAATTTAGTGTATGGAGTTTGAGGGATGTCAATTGACCATAAGGATACAAAATCTCAACAAAATTTTTTTTGAAATTTCATCGTTTTAGTAAGAAGGTAGCTACCTTATGATTTAGATTTTGGAAAACTTTGGAAGGGCATAACTTTTTTTCTATGATAGATAGAAAGCTGAAATTTTCACTGAATTTTATCTCAATAAAGGGGCTACAATCCCTGAAAATTTCAGCTCATTTGCACTTATAGTTCCTGAGATAAAATCGTGTTAAGCAATTTGGGCTGATTTATCAATTTTTCAATTTTTCTGAGTGCCTTTTTTCATAGATTTCGGCTTCAAATCTGAGAATAATTTAGTGTATGGAGTTTGAGGGATGTCAATTGACCATTAGGATACAAAATCTCAACAAAAAAAATTTTGAAATTTCATCGTTTTAGTAAGAAGGTAGCTACCTTATGATTTAGATTTTGGAAAACTTTGGAAGGGCATAACTTTTTTTCTATGATAGATAGAAAGCTGAAATTTTCACTGAATTTTATCTCAATAAAGGGGCTACAATCCCTGAAAATTTCAGCTCATTTGCACTTATAGTTCCTGAGATAAAATCGTGTTAAGCAATTTGGGCTGATTTATCAATTTTTCAATTTTTCTGAGTGCCTTTTTTCATAGATTTCGGCTTCAAATCTGAGAATAATTTAGTGTATGGAGTTTGAGGGATGTCAATTGACCATTAGGATACAAAATCTCAACAAAAAAAATTTTGAAATTTCATCGTTTTAGTAAGAAGGTAGCTACCTTATGATTTAGATTTTGGAAAACTTTGGAAGGGCATAACTTTTTTTCTATGATAGATAAAAAGCTGAAATTTTCACTGAATTTTATCTCAATAAAGGGGCTACAATCCCTGAAAATTTCAGCTCATTTGCACTTATAGTTCCTGAGATAAAATCGTGTTAAGCAATTTGGGCTGATTTATCAATTTTTCAATTTTTCTGAGTACCTTTTTTCATAGATTTCGGCTTCAAATCTGAGAATAATTTAGTGTATGGAGTTTGAGGGATGTCAATTGACCATAAGGATACAAAATCTCAACAAAATTTTTTTTGAAATTTCATCGTTTTAGTAAGAAGGTAGCTACCTTATGATTTAGATTTTGGAAAACTTTGGAAGGGCATAACTTTTTTTCTATGATAGATAGAAAGCTGAAATTTTCACTGAATTTTATCTCAATAAAGGGGCTACAATCCCTGAAAATTTCAGCTCATTTGCACTTATAGTTCCTGAGATAAAATCGTGTTAAGCAATTTGGGCTGATTTATCAATTTTTCAATTTTTCTGAGTGCCTTTTTTCATAGATTTCGGCTTCAAATCTGAGAATAATTTAGTGTATGGAGTTTGAGGGATGTCAATTGACCATTAGGATACAAAATCTCAACAAAAAAAATTTTGAAATTTCATCGTTTTAGTAAGAAGGTAGCTACCTTATGATTTAGATTTTGGAAAACTTTGGAAGGGCATAACTTTTTTTCTATGATAGATAGAAAGCTGAAATTTTCACTGAATTTTATCTCAATAAAGGGGCTACAATCCCTGAAAATTTCAGCTCATTTGCACTTATAGTTCCTGAGATAAAATCGTGTTAAGCAATTTGGGCTGATTTATCAATTTTTCAATTTTTCTGAGTGCCTTTTTTCATAGATTTCGGCTTCAAATCTGAGAATAATTTAGTGTATGGAGTTTGAGGGATGTCAATTGACCATTAGGATACAAAATCTCAACAAAAAAAATTTTGAAATTTCATCGTTTTAGTAAGAAGGTAGCTACCTTATGATTTAGATTTTGGAAAACTTTGGAAGGGCATAACTTTTTTTCTATGATAGATAAAAAGCTGAAATTTTCACTGAATTTTATCTCAATAAAGGGGCTACAATCCCTGAAAATTTCAGCTCATTTGCACTTATAGTTCCTGAGATAAAATCGTGTTAAGCAATTTGGGCTGATTTATCAATTTTTCAATTTTTCTGAGTACCTTTTTTCATAGATTTCGGCTTCAAATCTGAGAATAATTTAGTGTATGGAGTTTGAGGGATGTCAATTGACCATAAGGATACAAAATCTCAACAAGATTTTTTTTGAAATTTCATCGTTTTAGTAAGAAGGTAGCTACCTTATGATTTAGATTTTGGAAAACTTTGGAAGGGCATAACTTTTTTTCTATGATAGATAGAAAGCTGAAATTTTCACTGAATTTTATCTCAATAAAGGGGCTACAATCCCTGAAAATTTCAGCTCATTTGCACTTATAGTTCCTGAGATAAAATCGTGTTAAGCAATTTGGGCTGATTTATCAATTTTTCAATTTTTCTGAGTGCCTTTTTTCATAGATTTCGGCTTCAAATCTGAGAATAATTTAGTGTATGGAGTTTGAGGGATGTCAATTGACCATTAGGATACAAAATCTCAACAAAAAAAATTTTGAAATTTCATCGTTTTAGTAAGGAGGTAGCTACCTTATGATTTAGATTTTGGAAAACTTTGGAAGGGCATAACTTTTTTTCTATGATAGATAAAAAGCTGAAATTTTCACTGAATTTTATCTCAATAAAGGGGCTACAATCCCTGAAAATTTCAGCTCATTTGCACTTATAGTTCCTGAGATAAAATCGTGTTAAGCAATTTGGGCTGATTTATCAATTTTTCAATTTTTCTGAGTACCTTTTTTCATAGATTTCGGCTTCAAATCTGAGAATAATTTAGTGTATGGAGTTTGAGGGATGTCAATTGACCATAAGGATACAAAATCTCAACAAGATTTTTTTTGAAATTTCATCGTTTTAGTAAGAAGGTAGCTACCTTATGATTTAGATTTTGGAAAACTTTGGAAGGGCATAACTTTTTTTCTATGATAGATAGAAAGCTGAAATTTTCACTGAATTTTATCTCAATAAAGGGGCTACAATCCCTGAAAATTTCAGCTCATTTGCACTTATAGTTCCTGAGATAAAATCGTGTTAAGCAATTTGGGCTGATTTATCAATTTTTCAATTTTTCTGAGTGCCTTTTTTCATAGATTTCGGCTTCAAATCTGAGAATAATTTAGTGTATGGAGTTTGAGGGATGTCAATTGACCATTAGGATACAAAATCTCAACAAAAAAAATTTTGAAATTTCATCGTTTTAGTAAGAAGGTAGCTACCTTATGATTTAGATTTTGGAAAACTTTGGAAGGGCATAACTTTTTTTCTATGATAGATAGAAAGCTGAAATTTTCACTGAATTTTATCTCAATAAAGGGGCTACAATCCCTGAAAATTTCAGCTCATTTGCACTTATAGTTCCTGAGATAAAATCGTGTTATATAATTTGGGCTGATTTATCAATTTTTCAATTTTTCTGAGTGCCTTTTTTCATAGATTTCGGCTTCAAATCAGAGAATAATTTAGTGTATGGAGTTTGGGGGATGTTAATTGACCATTGGGATACAAAATCTCAACAAACAAAAATTTGAAATTTTATCGTTTTAGTAAGAAGGTAGCTATGGAGTTTGGGGGCTACAATCCCTGGAGATAAAATCGTGTTAAGCAATTTGGGGTGATTCATCAAACTTTTTTATTAATAATTTTACGAAAAAAAGTTTATATCTCTCAAACTATATTTCTGAAAATATGGAAGTTATTGTGGGGGATATTAATGTAAATCTCATGGATAGTGAGGACCAGAGAGTGACCATTTATTTACAGTGTTGCCAACTATATGAATGGCCATTTTATCAGATTATAAAATTTGGAACACCCGAATATTACTAGATTTTTCTCAATCCTGCCAATACCAGAATATTACTAGGTCTTTGTTGCTAAACAATAATTGTGCTAAAAGAAGGAGGCACGATTTACATTGAAAATAGGCCCCCGTAAATTTTAACCAAATTTCAATATTTTAAAGATATCATCATTGCAAAAGAAAATTTGAAATGTAAAGAGGATCGTATGTCTGTGATAACAGATATAGCTTGTCAAAGTACGTAGGTCCTGCAATGGTATGCATAGGAAATATCCGAGGAAATATCCTTACGTAGATTTTCTTGAATATTTCGAAAAATACTAATCCAGTTTTGACGGTTTTGGGGTCCTTTTGTAGGTATCAAACCCCAAAAACGTCAAAATCGGATCAGTATTTTTCGAGATATTCAAGAAAATCTACGTAGGGATATTTCCTATGCATACCATTGCAGGATCTACGTACTTTGATAAGCTATATCTGCTATCACAGACATACGATCCTCTTTATATTTCAAATTTTCTTTTGCAATGATGATACCTTTAAAATATTGAAAGGACCCCGCACACCTCTTATGGGTTTTTGGTTTTCTGTCAAACTCAATGAAATTTTAATATGTGATAGACCTTGACTTCATGATAAAAAGTTCTCATGGGCCCGAACCAATCAGGATTAGTTTTTGATATACAGGTACTTTAATGTCCAAGAAATGTACACATTTTATATGTATTAACATCTACCTGTCACCTAATAATAGGTCTGTTTTTGTAAAAATCACAAACCCGTCAGAGCGACTTTGATTGGTCGAAAACAGTCAGAAAACTAGTTTCAACCAATGAAATTCACTCGGATAAACGTATTAATAGGTGACAGGTAGATGTGAATGCATATAAAATGTGTACATTTCTTGGACATTAAACCACCTGTATTTCGGAAACTATTCATAGTATCGGGTTGGGCCCATGAGAACTTTTTATCAGTAAGTCAAGATATACCACATATCAAAATTTCATTGAGTTTGACAGAAAACAAAAAACCCATAAGAGGTATGCGGGGTCCTTTGGTTGAAATTTACGGGGGCCTATTTTCAATGTAAATCGTCCCTCCTTCTTTATAGATTTCAATTATTTATTTTAAGTTTTTTTTTTGTTTTTTTCGTTAGGTTTAAAATAAAAATGCAACAACAACAATATCTAGTACCTACGGATAAATAAAACTTATTCAGATAAAATAACACTGCATACCTAATATACCTATACACAGGATACCTATAACCAAAACATTATTGTAAAAAAAATCCATTCTGTATAACATAACATTACAGATATTGGTAAACATACTTAGGCCCGGTTTGTTCATCTTCAGATAAGCTCCTTGGTAACTATCTGCAAGATAAGTGCACCGTTCTATAATCAAATAACAAATTTCCTTTTTATATGGGTGGGTCAGATTGCATACCTGACAGTTTATCAGTAGGTGAATAAACCGGCCCTAATAGGTATATTGTTAACCTTTGGCATAATTATTTAAGACTAGTCTCCATAGACGCGAAATAGCTATTTTTTGCGGATTTCTTTCCTATTGGTTTAAATTTCACATTCAAATGTCGAATGTCAAATTCTAACATGTAAAAATGTCACTTTAAGCGTTGATTATCGTTAAACCTCCCTTAAAATTGACGGTGCAAACGGCCATAAATTCAAGAGAAATGGATTGTTGATTGCTAATGCGAAAATACCAGAATTTTGCTGGAATGAAATGTCAAATTACCAGAAATATTACTAGATATATTTTGAAAATCTTCATTACTAAAACCAGGGTCGATATTACCAGATCTGGTAATCATTTTACCAAGTTGGCAACACTGTTTATTTATCGACTCTGGGTCTATATGGCTTCCAGCCATACATTATCTCCTGTCCTGCCATACATCAAAACCTGTCTGGATCACTTTTTTGTTGAAAATAATCTAAAACTCATAATGTAAAAATTGAATCCTGTGTGATAAATTGTGATGTAACAGATCACTACCTAAATATCTGATTATGCTTAACTTCTCATAGATAAAAAGACTAAAAGCGATACAAGATAAAAACCACACAAATAAAATTAAAATAAACGAAACAAAACTGTCTCAGGAATCCTGGCATGACAACTTATCTAACTGATCCGGAAAGTACCTATCGTGCTATTATAGACAGATTTTACAGTATATATTTACAATGTTTAAAAATAACTCTAAAAGAATATATGTACTGGTGGCTGAAAAACAGCATATTGAATATTTTCAAAGAAGAATTTCTATATTATATCCAACTCATCCATTATACAATAATAAAATCATAAATTTAAGAACATTGTATTATTATACAGTATGTTGCTGGGTACATAAACACAAGGAAATCAAACACTGTGAATCATGAATATTTAACCAGAATAAAAATGTCAACAAGCAATTAGCTATCCCAAGATGTCATAGTGAGTTTTCTAAGAAATCTATTAAATATTTAGGACCTAAACTATACAATTTGGTATCAAGCGATATTGAAGGGATGGTCATCAAAGTTTTTTCTAATTTAGTAAAATGTTTTACAGTAGAACGAATAGACGAATTTGTTAAGGTACTGCAGGGAAGTGTTATTTAATGCTTACCATTGTCATTGTCAGATATTAAATAAATCAAAAAATCGCAAACTGTTGCTTCAGCCCCCCCTATTTTCACAGAATAAATGCAAGGCATTGAACAAGAAAATTATAGTGAGGCAATAAATTGAGTGGCAGATTGGCTCCAACTCTTCACTTCCAACAAACCAGATCATTGAAAAACATTTCACAAGCAAATTTTGATGTAAATGCTTGTTTCAGAAATTTGCCTAAATAAAACTGTTGATTTCAGGTGAAGAAGCCATCGCTCACGGTATCAACCAGACCGAAGTAACCACGGTCGTCACTTCTTACGAACTGATGCCCAAATTCAAAAAAGTACTCGCTATGACTCCAAAAGTAAAAACCCTCATCTACATGGAAGATCAACTCAAACAATTAGAAAAGACCGGCTACAGAGAGGACATTCAAATCATCAGTTTCACTGATGTATTGAAGAAGGGAAAAGTTTCGAGTTGCGGTAAGAGAATTTTATTATTATGTACTTACCAGGATCTGACAACCTGCCAAGGTGAAACAGATATACTCGAATTTTAATTTTTTTACTTAATTTTTTTACTGTTTAATAAAAACTAGTGGGAATCGTACATAAAATCATATAACGTTTACATAAACAGGGTCATTATTTAATACAATGAAGTCTTACTTAATGCACTTGTTATATAAATAGCTATTCCAGAAAACTGCCCACCAACCACAAATGATACCGCCATTATTATGTACACGAGTGGTTCAACTGGGGTACCAAAAGGTGTAGTCATTTTACACAAAAACCTAATCGCCACCCTTAAAACTTTCTGCGACGCCACTGATATTTACGAGCAAGACCTTATGATTGGATTTTTGCCTTTGGGTAAGACTTTGTTTTATAAACTAAAAGCATTTTGACATTGTAAATTTTTCTAGCCCACGTATTTGAATTGCTAGTAGAAACCGTATGTCTTTGCGCTGGGGTACCTATTGGGTACTCAAGCGCTCTTACCATGATTGATTCATCCAGTAAAATTAAAAAAGGTACTAAAGGTGACGCTTCAGTTTTGAGGCCTACTTGTATGACCAGCGTACCAGTAAGTTATTTCTTTTTAAAATGTATTAGAGGATATTCAATTCAAATTTGTAGCTGATTTTGGACAGGATATCAAAAACAATTCAAGACAGAGTGAGCAAAAGTAGCGATTTGAAAAAGTTGATATTTAAATTCTCGTATGATTATAAATCAAAGTGGATGAGGAGAGGATATGAAACTCCAATGATAAACAGGTAAGAACTTTATAATGAAATTAGGCCTTCATTAGCAAGAATTATTATTAGTTATTTGTGTTGTGATAGAGTAGCAATATATTGTAGCAGTGGTAAAACTTAATGCATTTTTATACAATATGAATATAAGGCTCAAAGTCTCTAGAAGACAGAAAGTTTCTGAGGTTTTTCCACAGAACTTTCAATCTCAAAAACAAAACGACACTGAGAAGTTGTGGGATACCAAAGATAAAAAACTTGGAAGTTTACCATAGGCGCAACTAGGTGCTTGGGGGTGCTAAGCACCCCTAAAGCAAAAATTAGCACTCCCATTCGGCATCCCACCATAGCACTACCTAACACTTATATAAAAAATTTGTGTAACCAAATTATTTATTGAAATCTTTGGCCGCATGAGAGTGATTTTTCAAGGTCGTGTCACGACAGGATTTATAAAATTTTCGTCTCGCAAATGAGATGAAGCATATGATGAATATGAGAGAGAGAGAGAGAGAGAGAAAGAGATCGATAAATAAGTATTCACTTCTATCACTTGTACTTTGCTGCACGCGACTTTTTTTTTTGTACTTTTTGTACTTACTTACGTCATCGATGACATCATAATTTAACTTGCATATTTTTACCAAATAATTCGAAATTTATGACTCGATCAAAAACGTGTTTCTATGGGCCGTGACGTCATAAGGCAGTAATAATCGGGTCGCGCCGCTGCCACGTCATGTGCTGCTGGTAACGCCAATGTCAAATCTATCAAAAACTGCATACATAACAACATAACCATAATCTAATCTACCTAAAGTTCAAAGTGCTCGTCACTGTCATCGGAATTTTGTTGCCGAGTGACGTCACACTAATCGGTCGTTTCAAATGGCGATGTTTCGAGCGTGACTTCAAATATTTATAAAAAATTAACGTCTGATTTTTAATGCTTTATATTTGGCATGATTATGTGTTTAGTGTAGTAGAACACATTTTTGAAGTAAAAAAAAAATGTGCAAGTTCCCTACCTCATTTTTCCGCGATTCTTATCTCACTTTTTCACGAATTTACACTAACTTTTTTTGAAATTTTTGACTAATTTTTTTTTGCGATTTTTGACCCACTTTTTTGCAATTTTGTCTTCAACTTTTTGGCGATTTTTGGCTCTTCTTTTTTTCGATTTTTGACTCTCTTTTTTTACGATTTTGTCCTTACTTTTTTTGCGATTTTAGCCTCACTTTTTTACAATTTTACCCTCACTCCTCCGCGATTACACACCTATTTTTCCGCTAATTTGACCTCACTTTTTTTGCGATTTTTAAATAATTTTTTTTTTTGCAATTTTTGACTCATTTTTTTGCCATTTTACCATCACTTACCGCGATTCTAGATCCACTTTTTCGCGATTGTAAACCCACTTTTCTATAAATATTATCTCAATTTTTCCGCGATTCTTGTCTCACTTTTTTTTGCGATGTTATCCTCACTTTTCCGCGTTTCCTATTTCATTCTCCGCGATTTTATCCTCACTTTTCGTGACTTTATCCTCATTTTTCCGCGAGTGTCATCCTACTTTTCCGCGAATTTTAACTCACTTTTTTTGAAATTTTTGACTCGTTTTTTTTTTGCGATTTTTGACTCTTTTTTTTGTTATTTCATCAACACTTTCCGCGATTTTATCCTCATTTCAAAATTACGAGAATTACGATAATTTTTGAAAAGTTACGAAAAATTACGTTAAAGTACGTAAAATATGGAAAATTATGAGAATCGCAAACATTTACGAGAATCACGGAATAACAAAAAATTGTGGGAATTACAAAAATTATTGGAATTACCAAATATTACACAAAAGAATTACGAAGTTACTCCAAAATTACGTCAATTATTTAAATATTACTAATTTTTGAAAAGTCACGAAAACTAACAAGACAAATTACGGGAATTACGAAAAATAATGGGAATTATAAAAATTTACGGAACTAAGTAGAATGACGAAAATTTACGGGAATTATGAGAAATTATAAAAATTACGGGAATTAAGGAAAATACGAAAAACTACGAAAATTACAAAAATTACGGGTATCACGGAATATTACGGGAAAGAATTACAAAGTTATTCCAAAATTACGTAAATTACGGTAATTCCCAAAATAACGGAAATCACAAGTTTTTGAAATTACGAAAATTACAATAACTTAGGAAGAATTAGAAAATTCCAAATTTTTTTGGAAATTAGGAAAGTTGAAAATTGAAAAATTGGAAATACAAATAATTACTGGAATTACGAATACATCACGATGTGAAAAGCGGGAAAAATTGCGAGACTAACGAAAATTACCAATTTTTCCAAAAATTGAAAAAAATAAGGGGGAATTAGAAAATAACAAGAATTATCTGAGAAATGACAGGAATTAAAAAATTTCGAAAATTCCCAAAAAAAAAATACGGAAATTACCAACTTTCGAAAATTTCAGAAACTTAGGGGGAATTATAAAACTAACAGAGTTTTTATGAGAAATTACGGAAATTGAAAAATTACGAAAATAATGGGAATTACGAAAATTTCGAGTTTTTCGAAAATTGTAAAAACTAAGGGGGTATTATGAAAATAACGAGAATTATCTGAGAAATGACAGGAATTAGAAAATTTCGAAAATTCCCAAAATAAAATACGAAAATTACGAGAATTACATAATTTCGGAATTATGAAAATAACGGAGTTTTCTGAGAAATTACAGAAATTAAAAAATTACGGAAATCTGAAAACTACAGGAATTATTCAAAAATTATGAAAAATACGAAAAAATCACGGGAATTAAAAAAATTGTGACAATTTTCAAAAAATTACGAAAATAACAAGAATTACAAAAAGTTACGGGATTCACGAATTTTCCGAAAATTGCAAAAACTAAGGAGGAATTATGAAATTAACGAGAATTTTTTGAGAAATAACGGGAATTTGAAAATTTTCAAAAATTCCAAGAAAAAAAAATTACGGGAATTACCAATTTTTGAGAATCACAACAAACTTGGGGGGAATTATAAAGATAACTGAGTTTTTTGAGAAATTACGGGAATTACAAAATTACGAAAATTTGAGGAACTACAGGAAATATAAAAATTGAAAGAAATAAGAAAAAATTACGGGAATTGCGTTTGGAAAGTTACGGGATTTATGAAAAAGTTACAGGAATTAGGAAAATTACGAGTTTTCCAAAAATTGCAATGACTAAGGAAGAATTATAGAAATACAGAGAATTATCTGAGAAATTACGGAAATAATGAAAATTCACAAAAAAAAAATTGAAAATTACGAGAATTACGAATTCTTGAAAATAACAAAAACTTAGGGGGAATTATGAAATTAGTAACTGAATATCTTGAGAAATTACGGAAATTAAAAAATTACCAAAAACTGAGAAACAACAGGAATTATTCAAAAATTACGCGAATTACAGAAAAATTATGATGAATTTTGGAAAGTTACGAAAAAGTTATGGGAATTACGAGTTTTGCGAAAATTGCAAAAACTAAGGAAAAATTATAAAAATAACGAAATTTATTTAAAAAATAACGGCTTTTAACAATTTTTTTTCGCAATTTCACGTTCACTTTTCCGCAATTTCAAAGTTCAAACTCACTTTCTCGCAATTTCAACAAATTTTTCCGCGAATTTTGCCTCACTTTTCCGTTATTCTTGCCTCACTTTTCCGCGATTTTCGCCTCGCATTTCCGCAATTTCAACCTAATTTTTCCATAATCTCTACTTTTGTTTTTCGTATTTATAACCTCATTTTTCTGGATTATAACCCTGCTTTTCCGCCATTTTTACTCAACTTTTTCGCAATTCCAACATTTTCAACCTCATTTTTCTGTAATTTTTACTTATATTTTTCGTAATTCCAACGTCACTTTCCTGCGATTTTGACACTCACTTTTTCGCAATTTTTGAGAAGTTACGAAAATTACGGAAAATTGCAGGAATTACGAAAAATTACTGGAATTATAAAAATAAAGAGAATTACGAAAATTACAAAAATTATAGGAATTACGAAAATCACGAATTTTTGAAATTATTTATTTATTTATTTACGTATAAGAAAAATACATTTGAAGTTGAACAGAGTTTAAATCTAAAAAAATCTAACCTAAAACAATTCTCCTGGCCTTCATCTTAAATTTATCCAGAGATAAACCAAAGAACTCAAGGCCCTCACAGAACTTATTTACATTGGCAGATATTCTATTCACAGGACTGAATAGTAAGTACCAGGTTCGTAAGGAATGTGCAGTAAAGATTTACTTCGTGTCTGATAACTTTGAATGTGTAGATTAAAACATTCAAGACATTCGTGGCTTTTTATGTAGTAGTTAAGGATTTTAAATGCAAAACAGACATCAAAATATTCCCTTCTGCGAACAAGAGTAGATAAGTCTAAATAAGTCATAGTCAGGTCATTACTGAGAATCACACCACTCAAAGAAAGTTTGTACCTTGCAAACTTGATAAATTTGTGTTGAACACTCTCAAGCCTATTGATGTGGATCTGATAGTAAGGTGACCAAACTATGCATGAAAATTCAAGAACGGACTTGACCAGTGATGTGTAAAGAATTTTGATAGGGCGTATACTTGTAAAGTCCCTAGTAGCTCTCTTAATAAAACCCAACATTTTATTAGCCCTGCCAATTACCACTTCAAAATGCTCAGTGAACATTAGCCTAGTATCTAGAAAGACACCAAGATCTTTAATGATAGAAACTTCAGACAAGCGAACATTGTTTAAGTAATACTGCAAGGGAACACTATGGGTGCGTCTACTGAATCTTATACAACAGCACTTATCGATGTTGAGGGACATGTAATTAAGCTGACACCAATCATGAACGATGTTAAGATCATTTTGCAAAATAAGTATGTCTTGAGCTGATGTCACCTGACGATACAACTTCAAGTCATCAGCAAAAAGTAAAAAATCTGAGGAGAGCAACGATCCTAAATCTTTGATAAACAAGCT